GATTTCTAGTTTCATGCCATTGTGGTCTGAGAAGATGCTTGATATAATTTCTATCTTCTTGAACTTGTAGAGATTTAGTGTGTGTCCTATCATGTGGTCTATCTTTGAGAATGTCCCATGTGCACTTGAGAAGAATGTGTATTCTGTAGTTTGGGGTGTAATTCTCTGTAGATATCTATTAAGACCATTTGGTCTAGTGCTTCATTTAGAGTCTCTGTTTCCTTGCTAATTTTTTGCCTAGAGGATCTATCCAGTGCTGTCAACGTTGTGTTGAAGTCCCCTGCTATGATTGTATTGTTGTCGATTTCTCCTTTGAAGTCCTCCAGAAGATTTTTAATATATTTTGGTGCTCCTATATTGGGTGCATATATGTTTATCAAGGTTATATCTTCCTGTTGGATAGATCCTTTCAATATTATGTAGTGGCCTTCTTTGTCTCTAGTTATGGTCTTCGTTTTGAAATCTATTTTATCAGATATGAGAATTGCTACCCCAGCTTTTTTATGCTTTCCATTTGCTTGGAAAATTTTTTTCCAACCCTTCACTTTCAACCTATGTGAATCTTTTGTTGTGAGGTGCATCTCTTGCAAACAACATGTACATGAGTCATGCTTTCTTATTGGATCAGTCTTAATACCTTTACTCTCCTGGCATGGTTGAAACAAATAACTATGGACTTCTGGTCCTGCTATTCATATCTCAACTCTGACACTTGTAAGTTGGCAAAGTAATTTGCCGTTCTGAGATTCCATTTCTTCAACTGTAAAAATCATGGCTGTTGTGAGATTCAAATGAGATGGTGTATTCAAAGTGTCTGGCACATAGTAGGTATTTAATGAATATTTGTTGGATGAATAGGAATATTAGCAGCACTTCAAGGAATAGGATTTAGTGATTAGTGATGGTTATGGGACTTGAGGTAAAGTATGGTAGTTCTTTGCCCCTGTTCCCTAATTTTACAGCCTTCCATGAAAAACACAAGTCCTTCTGTAGGCCACCACACCACAGTCCAAGCTTTCTGTGGAGTAGATGAGTACTGACAGAAGCTCTAAACCTGGAAATGTAGTTTTTAGAATGTATGCTTTTTTTTCTATTTGTAATGCTAGTGATATAACCTCTCTGTTCCCTCAAGGAGATAATAGGTAGGGTTGTGGGGAGAGGGTTTGTTAGAAAATACATATTCCCTCTCTTTCTTTTTGGATTTCTGTGTAGCAGCAGTTTGGGGCTTAGATGCTGTCCAATGGCTCAATAAAAGTTTCTGTGAAGAAAACTCAAGAATGCACTTAGGGTGGCAATGACAGCCCTTTGGTATTGACTCCTAGCCTGGTGATACCTGGTTATGACTTCATTTCAATAAGGTTTATTGACACCTTTCTGTCAGTTTTCTACTCTGGAGCTTCCCACTTTGTAGACTTTATTCCAGTTTAGGGCTTTGGAATAATGGCGTGCTATACATTTATTTCTTTCATTTACAGAAACAAGTCTTTCCCTGGTTCCAGGGTTCATGTACCTAATATACATATCACTGGTACTCTAATGTGGGTGATGACTTGACAGGCAAGTGAAGAAACATAATGAGACCTCTGCTGCCTTGTATAAACTAGATTGTGAGCATGGCAGAGAGGAGGAAGTTGCCCGATAGAGGGCCTACCCCAGCCCGGGATCCTGTCTACTATGCCATATGACTACAGGAGATTTGGGTTGTAGGGGGTAAGGGAGAAGCTCAGGAGAGTATATTACAAATTGATATAGAAGCCTCCTCTTTAGAGCTTACAGGTCAAAGGTCCTGTAAGAGGAAAATGGCTTTGGGCAGAAATAGAAAATCAGTAGAGGGCAGGGTACCAGTTTTAGCCGAGAGTTGGTCTGGATTCCTGACTCTACCTCTCTGTTTCTGAGAGCACTTCTAGGGTTGTCAACTGAGGCTCACATTCCTGTCTGTGTAATGGATGCAATAAAGCCTACAGTCTTCCTCCGAAGGATGGCAGAAGTTGAAGGTTTATCTGTTTTTAGAGTTTTCAACTCTGTGGAATCCAAAGTATTATATAAAACCTCATACTTTTAGTGAGTGAGTAAGTATGTGTCTAAGGGGAGATGCAACAAAATGCAGAGGGGGATATGGATCTACTGGCTGCTTGCCTCAATATGGTACTCTTTTTTTTTTTAATTAAAATTTTAATGTTGACATAATAGCATGCGTCCCTCTTTTCCCTGTCCTTTGCCCATCTCCACCCACCAGGTCTTCCCCTTCTTTGGCCTTCACCAAACTATTTTCCATGTCCATGGGCTATGCACATATGTTCTTTATCCAGTCATCCCCATGCATCCATCCTTCAAGTTCCATTTTGTTTGTCAGTTTATTTTGTTCATTAGATTCCACATATTAATGAGATCTTATGCTATTTGCTTTCTCTGACTGGCTTATTTCACCTAGCATAATACTCTCCAGGTCCATTCATGCTGTTACAAGGGGCAAAAGTTTCTGTTTTTTGTTTTTTGTTTTTTGGTTTTTTTTTTAATAGCTGCATACTATTCCATTGTGTAAATGTACCATAGCTTTTTTAATCCACTGATCTGCTGATGGGCACTTGGGTTGTATGCTTTAGTTTACTCTTCCCAAAGTTCCACAATTACTATTCATGTTGAAGCCACTTTGTAGATAGTTGGATTTCTTTCTTTAAGTAGGCTTCTCTTTGTAATTCAACCCTTCTTTCTTAAAATTTTATTGTTTCCATAGCTATTGTATTTTATCACAATTTTAGGTGGGGCCAAGGAAGATCAAAAAATTATATGATTATCTCAGTCTATAAGTAAAATACTATTTTCTCTGAAGAACTAAGATTTGACACTTGCCATTGGAGGGGATAAGGGATTCACTTATTCATTTTAACTACAGAAGAAAAGGTACAGAAGCTAATGAGGGCCTCTGATAAGGAAATTTGAATTAGGAAGGTCAGGGAAGGCTTCACTAAGAAATTAATTATTAAGCTGAGCTCTGAAATGGGATTGAACATTCACTAGGTGAATATGATGGTGGGAAATGTATGTGTACACATGCACATGAAGAAAGCAGGGGAAACAGAACGTGCATAGGCTTATGGTGGGAACAGCCATAGTACATTCCAGAAACAAATATTATATGACTGTGGCTGATTTTGTAACTTTAATTCAAAGTTTAAACCATAGTTTGGGGTGTTGAGGATTGAAAATGCAAGTATATCCATCTTTGAAGTATTGTTAGGCTAAATCATGCATACTGAGCACCCACTGTTGAGAGAGCATGGGAGGCATTATCAAGAAAGAAACATGCCTGGCCAGTGTAGCTCACTGGCCAGTGTGGCACAGTGTGCACCAAGAGGTTGCTGGTTCAATTCCTGGTCAGGGCACACGTCCAGGGCCCAGGGGGTGGGACCAATCCCTGGTAGGGGGCATGCAGGAGGAGGCCAGTCAATGGTCTCTCTCATTGATATTGCTCTTTCTCTCTCTCTCTCAAATAAATAAAGAAAAAATATTTTAAAAATACAAAAAGAAAGAAATGTATCTACACTGTTGACCAACAATGTGGTAGAGTAAAGGGCAGATTAAAAGTATATGATATACAAATCTTCTTCTCAATGTTTTACCCAATATGTACACTCACATAAAGGATGTATGGACAAATTCCTGGAGGACTACTTGGTTAAGGTGACTTGAGCCCACTGGAATTAATCAGAGAAGGCTTCCTGGAGGTCCTGAGTCCTGAATAGTGGTCTAACAATGATGTGAACTGGCAAATAAAAGGAAGATTTTTCTGGCAGGAGAGACGGCATGCATGATGACTTGGTGTAGAAAGATTATTTCTGAGGAAGGAAATTTGAGATAAATTAGCTTGGCCTGACTGGAAAATGAAAACAGCCTAACTTGGGGCCATCTTAGACTCTGTATATGACATGCCAACCAATCAATTAATAAAAGAAAAATTAAGATTCACTGGGCACCATGTGAGAAGAAATAATTGGTTATTAAAAAGTTAATTGTTACAAAGATCAGTCTTGACATCCCCAACTGACTGTAGACAGGACTATGTTTTTCCAAGGCTGTGAGGTAGATGAAAGTTGCTGCCTACCTCTTTTCCTGGGACTCTACAATTTAGTTTCACTGGGTATCTATCCCAATTTCTGGAGTTCTGTTTGTTTAAGCACCTAATTTTTTACATTTAGCTGTTACTCTTATCCCTGGTAAAATAATAGCTCTCCTATCTTTGGGCATTGACAATTTATGAGAGAGAATTCTCTGAGGAAAAACACACACAAATACCTCAAATGAAAGAATATACCTCTGACAGAGTGTCAGGTGGTAGGGATTTTTTTGAGCAGATGACCTTTCTCATTTCCCTTTAAACTGAAACTATCCCCTTAGTAGCTTGGCCTTGATTCCAATGTATATTTCCTCCCTGGATGTTGAATAGCTAGGTTAGGATAAAGATGTAGAGTAAGTGGTGAGAGATATAATTTTACCTGTCAAATCTCCTGATGATGCAGTATATAGTTCTTGGAAAACAGTTCATGCACTGTAGTATATCAGTGTGGTAAACAGTGTAGAGCATTAGAGTCAAGATAAGCCAGGGTTTATATCCTGACTCTACAACTTTCTAGCTGTGTCTTTTTTTTTTCTTCACTATTAACCTGTGCCTTGATTGCTTTGTGTTGTATATAAAAACAGGGATAATAAGAGTATCTGTGACATCAGTTATTATAAAGATCAATAAGATGTATGTCTAAGGATCTTAGCCTAGTTCTTGATATTTTATCATTGTCTTATTATCATTGTCATTAGTGTCACCACCACTACTACCACTCATATCACCTGCAGGTTCCTAGTGTAACAGAATAACATTTTATAATCTCTTGCTAAAGCAAATACCAGCCATCAGCAATGGAGAAAGGAAGACACAGGAATCCTAGTTGTGTTTATTGCTTTCTGTTTTTACTTTAACACTCATGTCTCTGTCCCTGTTTCTACAGGTACCTGTAGGCTTGGTTGGGCCTATTACTGTGCTGGAGGTGGAGCAGCTGCAGCTATGTTGATCTGTACCTGGCTCTCTTGCTTTGCTGGAAGAAACCCCAAGCCTGTTATGTTGGTGGAGAGCATCATGAGGAACACCAAGTCTTATGCCATGGAGCTTGACTACTACCTCAAGCCTTGAGCTTTGGCCAAAGATTGGAGAGGGTGGGAAAGAGGAGAAAAGGGAGCCTCGGAAAGAGTTACTAAGACAAGGCCAGTTGCCACCCACCTGTCAGCAGTATAGCCTAGATTTGCATGCTTTTTTTAACACAACAGACATTCATTTTCACTTTCCCTTAAGCTAGTGGGTCAGTGGCTACTTACAAAATTCATCAAGAAATATGATTTTCTCAAATGTTTATCTAGCTGGTGAGTACCCATTAGCCCCCAAGTCCCAAAGTACTCCTGTAGGCAAAATAAGGAGAAAATCCTCACTTGAAAGGTAACTGAACAAAGCTAGGTAAGAACACTTTTGCAAGAAGGGTCAATGAGATACACAGCTGGTTCCTGCGATTCCATTTGTCTAGACCTCCCCCTGGTATTGATTGCTATCTATAGAATGTCACTGCTCAAATTTTTGAGACTTTCTCAGGACTATATCTTGACTCTTTCTCTTTTAACCTGTCTCTCTTCCTTTTCATTTGTGGAGAAACTTGTAGGGAGGGTGATTCCCAGTAAGGAAAACATTAACCAAGGGTACTTGCTTATAGTCTAAGACCCCTTTCTCATTATGCTTTATAATAGTTATAAGAGTTCATTTTGTATTTTGGCTGGCTGACTGGCATAAAATATAGTGGCAAGTATTCTTTAGTCCTTTATAGATTCAGAAATGGTGTTCATTAAATGTTTTGAGCATATAATAGCATTTGTTGTGCACTCAATAAACATACTTTTACAATGATGATGACAAGGATGTTTCTGCTGGCTCCTTATTGAAATTTCTATCAGAGTTCATTTTTATTAACTAGGAGATCCACAGTGGCCTTTTGCCCCTATAGTAATTCCTATCATGATATATGTTTCTCTATTTCAAAGACAGCTCATTAAATGTTTTCTCCTCCATCTGGAGTGAGTTAGACATAAAAAACACAATCCTGATGTTACCAAGGGCTGATATATTTTTAGCCCTGGCTTCCATCCCAAATGTGCTCGAGGCTGATGGATGGTATAGAAGAACTTGGTATTACCCAAGGACATAATTTGTCTCTCCCCTACACCCAATTAATTCAGGCTAGTTCTACTGATCCATAACTACAGCTTTAAGGATTAGGCAAAGCCTATGACTCAAAAGGTCAACTCATCTGTTTTTATTTTTAATTACTTCAGAGTGTTGGAGTACAAGAAACCCTGCTGTTACAGTCTTTTGAGGTCAGGTTCCTTTGTTGCAGAGCATGGCAGAGAAGGGCAGAGAATGGACCTTGGGCGTGTGAGGGGCAAAATGGAAAATAACAGCTCAGTGAGTGTTCTTAGCTCCAGATGCTACCACTCCCTTATGCATTGCTTCACAAGCAATCAATGCTTTGCTGCTCTCTATGGCCCAGATACCTAAACACCTTGTAAAGTAGTTGCACTCTAGAGAAGAGACTGATCAAGAAAGGGTTAATTTAAAATAACCATTTTAAATGACTGTCATCTTGTATAAGGTCCTGGTCTCTTGGAAAGTTTCATCTCCTTTTCACTGGAAAGGGAATAGAATTTAAAAGGATTTTTTTTCTGTAAAGAAACCAGGCCTGCAGGGGCTTACATTCAAGAGAGATCCAGTCCCTTGTTCAATTTGAATTTAAATTCCTTCCTGCCAGTGTCTGGTTTCTTTCTTGCTAGGCCTGTTTGGCATAGATGTCTGATTAGCTTGTTTTGTTTTGTTTTTCCCCTGTGACCTGGAGCAGGTTCTTGAAAGCTAAGCTTACCTCCTCTGGCTGCTGTTGAGCAGAGAAAGGAGAGCCCATGGGTCAGGTAGAGGGCTGAACAAATGAAGTGAGCACCTCAGAGGCTGGTTTATCTTATGCCTGGCTGGCTGTCACGCTCCCTGCATATATACAAATGGAACGCCTAACCATGAGTCCTTTCTGATTCTTGGAACCACTTAGATCCTATGTGTGTGTGTGTGGTGGTGGGGGGAGAGAGGTTGGAGGCTATTCACCTGTGCTAGTTCACAATCAACCGAGTATTCATTAAGAGTACACTTAGCAGAGATGGCAAATGGGAAGCCACTGCCCTATTGGAATGTCTTTGTGTTTGCAGAGTTACAATTTCTACACATGGGTGGCCCTTGATATACTGCAAGTGTTAAGTCATTCAGGTCTGTCTCAAGTGATGCCCTCTCCTTAATGTCACTCCTCATCATCCCTACTCCCATCAGGAATAAACACCTCCATTCATTTATAGCTTCTGATGACTTCCATACAGTGGGTGCCCACCTTGCAAGAGCATGTGCCATGAACCAACACAGACAGGCTCTGGCCTCTGGGATAGGGAGTTCTGGCTTCTGCATGAATAGGTAGCAGTAGGAGGTTTCTGGAGGACGGGAAACCCTGGGAGGGTTAGGGGATGAGGAAACTGCTAGCAAGCAGAGGCTTTATACACTGTCCAACAAATTGCACTAAGAGGGAAGACCTGCCCCTTCAGAATGTGATAAGGACACTTTCTTCATTCTGGCATTCACTCTTGGTAGAAATATTAATGTGGAGAAGCTTTGCGGCTGTATTGGGTCCCAAGGCAGACTGTCAGTGGGAAAAAAATGAAAGTTCCAAAAAAACTAATAGTGAATGCATTTTATAAAAGATGGAAAGCATCCCACTTAGGGCCCTGAGGGGATAGATGTGCTATTTCTAGAACTCACAATCAGTCTCCAACCAGGCCTGTAAAGCTTTCTTAGCAGATCGGAGTTAGGACACTTCCAAGTCATCTCTGCCCAGTGTCCTTGGTTTAAAAGCATTTTTTTTTTTTTTTTTTTTTTTTTTTTAGCTGGAGGAGGGCTGAGGTTGCAGGATATTTATTACTGTCCTCTCTCTCTCAGTGTAGAGAGATGCATTTTCAGATTTAATTTTTATTTTGTCTGCTTATGAGATTAGGCTCTCCTAGAGTTGATCTCTTTTCTAAACACAATGAACACCCACTGAGTACTCAAAGGTAACAGCAAATAAACAGTTGCTATGTGTGCATAAAAATGATTTAGATTTTCATTATACAGAACTGCTGATATGTCAGGAGGCAGAACTAAGGGGAGAAAAAATGCTTGGTTTTGACTGTAGCACTGTATCCTGCTCCTTCCTCCCTCTACAGAAAGGAGGCCCAACAAATAATACTAGGGGGAGAAGGATATTGAGGACAGCTGGCATCCATGAGAGCATCCCCTAATGTTAGCTCTCTTTCATGTAGTGCCTTTTCTTCCTGGAGAGGTGGTGGCAACTACAGAAAGGAAACAAAGAAAGGTAGAAAGATCAAGGGGAATAAAAAGAGGTATATAGAAAGGTAAATATTGGAATCATTCCTGGGACATGTTTCCTCACACTGTGGCTTATATTACAGTCTCAGTTGGGGAACTTTGAATTTCTTTTCAAGATATCTCTCTGTATCTTCTAAGCTAAAATAATGCTGCTATACAACATGGTAAAGTGAAGACAGTGCAGGTTTTGTAGTCAGACAGATCAAGGTTTAAATCCCAGTCCAAACTTTTTGAGCTATGTGTCCTTGAGCAAGTTATATAACTTCTCTGTGTTTACTAAGTTTTCGAAGACAGCATCTCCTATCTGCTGTTGGTCTCCACTATCCCCAGGAGCTATAGAAGACATTTACTATCCACTGGCCCCATATCTTCCAGTTTGCACAGTGGTTTTATTTTTATTTTTATTTTTTTATCCTCACCCGAGGACATTTTTTCTATTCTTTGTACAGATAGAGTGGGAGGGAGAGAGAGGAAGAGGGAGAGAGAGAGAAACATTGACGTGAAAGGGACACATCGAGTGGCTGCCACCCGCACGACCAACCAGGGCCAGGGACAAACTGCAACCAAGGTACATGCCCTTAGCGGGAACCGAACCTGGGTCTCTCCAAACCGCAGGCCGACGCTCTATCCGTTGAGCCAAACCGGTCAGGGATGCACAGTGGTTTTAAATCCTGGTTCACAATAGAATCCTCTGAGAAGCTTCTAATAAGTTTGATAGATATGTCTCACCCCAGTTCAAATGAGCTCACATTTATGGGGGCTGCTGAACCATGCTACCATATAGTCATGGTCGATATCATTTACTGACATCCTAGTCATCTCATTTATTGAAAACTTCAGCACCTAGTTCATTCTCTTTTTCTTTCCTATTTCTGTCAGCCTTTTGTAAACTTCAACATTCATGTAAACCACTCTACCAACTTCTTGGCCTCTAAGTTCTTTGACTTCCTTACCTCCAATTATATTTTTTCTTTCACTCAACCTCTGCTGCTACCACTCTTGATCTCACCAACAAATGCAATATGACCAAAATACAGATTTCAAGCCTCCTATTCCTAACCAACAATTCTTATCCTTTCATTTCATGTTCTTTAATATCTTCACTCTGTCAACTCTTTGATTCCATCCTTACCCAGTATAGAGTCCATAGTTCATCAATATAACCACCTCTTGAATGCATATCCCACTCTTTTGCCCCTCATTCAGCCTGCCATATGTTTGTCTAATAAAGCTGTGCCCTAATTCTGGTTAGATGTAATAATCTACCTGATCTGTGCTTGCACCAAATTTATAACCATGGGCAGAAAAAAACACAGTAACTGTTCTTGCACCTTTTCTCTATCTATACCCCCTCTTTTGATGAGTTCACTCAAGTTCATGGCTTTAAATAGTATTTATAACCTTTCTACTCAAAGTGTGAATTATTGTCCAAAAGCATGGGAGTGCATTAGAAATTTAGAGTCTTAGGCCCCACCCCACACCTACTGAATCAAAATCTGCATTTCAGTAAAATTCCCATGAGACTGACATTTATCAAAGTTTAAAAGGCATTTATCTATACCAGTGGTTCTCAGCTCTGACTGCAAATTGGAATCAGCTAGAGTTAAGACTCTGCTAATGCCTAGCACCATTTTCAAAGGTTCTAATTTAATTGGTCTATGGTAAGGTCTGGACATACATAAATTGTATAAGTCACTATGTGATTTTTAATGTGCAGCCATGTTTGAGAACCACTGAGTAAACACTGATGACTACCAAATTAATATTTCTAGGTCAAGCTTCTCCTATTAACTCCAAGTTAATAAGTCCAACTACATATTCTATATTTCTACTTGGATATCTAGTAGTTTTGACAAATTGTTCATATCCACAATCAAGACCAAATCTTTCTCCCTAAAACTGCTCCTTGTCATTATCCCCATCTTAGTAAATAAATGGCACCATATTTACCTGGTTTTCACCTTACCTCCTTGGGTGGCCCTTCTCATCCTTTTCTTATTTTTTTTTATTTTGTTCTACCTCTTAATTTTTAAATGCTCCAGGACACATTGTTTCTTTCAAGATGCAGATTCTCC